GCCGCTATGGAGGAAGAGGGATGATTGGGAACGAGTCGGATGGCACTCTGCATAACCAACTGGAAGAAAGCGACGATCTCGAGTGGATAGACGAGAGATCTCAAAAATCCGCGACAAATTAACAACACGACGGCGCGACGTCGAAGATGCAGAGCGCAGGCGTGCGACGATTCGAGTGCAGTTTCTCTCGCGGAGATGCGGAAGAAAGGACCGGAGATCGGTAATAGAATAGTGAATCTCGGCGAACTGTAACCGTACCCTTTCGCCCTTTCGCAGCGGTGCGGATGGTAGTTTGCTCGTCCCCTTGGAGACGAGCCAAAATAGGAATTGGCTATTGACCAAGGCAATAGTACCTAAATTACCACGCGTTGCACACACCGCCGGGAGATGCTCGACCCTTGTTATGTGTCCTGTATTCGATTATCTGTGTCATGCTTTATTACGGACTAATGTCGCGACAGCGACGCATCTGCGGTGATCGCATCGCCGCGATAATCGCCATCGCGAGTCGCGTCACTCAAGGCAAATTCACGAAGACGAAGTAAATTCTACGTGAGTTGACGGTACATTAAAGAGATGCATAAATAGTTTACAATTTTTTATCTATTTTTCAATAAGAAATTCACTGACTAATTTCAACTCGATTTTTCCTACAAAAAATATCATTATTTCAATCATTTTCAAATAAATTGTGCCAATAAAAATAAAGAACCTCTAGTATAGTGAAGTTTCGAAGAAAAAATAGATCCATAATCTTCAATCAAATTGAAGTAAACTTTTCTTTAATAAAATTTTAATTTAAGGCTTACTTAAATCAATAACTTAATTAAAGTGATAAATTTTCTCGACATTTTTCTAAAAGAATATATCGAGACAGCTGAAAGAACCGAAACAAAAATCGTAATCAATAAATGGAATGTAAACATGCAGCCTATTTTTCTTGAGAAAATATTAATTTCCTTACTCACAATACAAAATTTATAGATGACAAACGGCGCGGGCATTATCCGTTAAATAGGCAAAGTCGCGGAAACGCTGACAAATCCGGTGGCGAAGAAGTGAGTACTGGAAGCGAAAGAGAGAAACGATGAAAAAGAAGAATGACGGAAGAAAAATAGAAGCGACGACAACGGTGAACGAATTCCTTTAGGCGTGAGAGAAACGCCCGCGAGAAACCCCACCTCTGGCACCCTCCTTTCTTTGTATATTCGAAGGATTTCCACTAATGAAATAATTAAAATTACAAAGCTCCGCTCGACGACGACAACGACGACGACGACGCGACGACGACAACGACGACGACGACGACGACGACGACGACGACGACAACGACGACGACGACGACAACGACGACGACGACGACGACGACGAACGATCGTGTGCGCCGGAACCTCGGTGCTCTATTTCCTCCTTCGTCTCCGTCACCTTTAGCTAGAAGAGGTAAGTCTTTACACTCATCCCTTCGCCCGCGGAGAATCGGTAACGGTTCAACGGGAATCAATGAAAATTCCCGACGGAGCGGCTTTGAAATTCCATTAGAAAATCAAAGACGTCCCTCGTTCTCTCCAACTGTTGTTTCGTTTATCGCTCGTTCCGTGAGTTCGTAGATTCACCTTTTCGTCGTCTACGAAACACGAATATATTTTAATTATAATAGATATATTACGCGAAGAGAGAGAGAGAGAGAGAATACGAATATAAACAGGATGACCAAAATATCGACTACACTTTACTATTATTTCACAACTTATCAATTTTCTAAAAATTCATTCGTTCACTAAAATATCTTCGACTATAATAGAACTTCAAATACATTGACCTAATATTGGACTGCTGTTGAATGCAAAATAATTGAAAAGTTCATTATAAGATAAATCTACTTTAAATCCATACTGCAGACATATAAATTATAAACTCTACATTCCGTATTCTAAACTCTTATATTTTCTCTCGATATAAAATATTTCACAGAAATCTAGCTTTTATTATTTGCGAGGACGAGCATGATAATTTAAAAATGCGTCAGCACTACGGGCATGCGTAACATAATCTATGTTCAAATACCCGCAGGATCCTCGGGTATTGAGTTACTCGCTTTAGGTAGCGTTATTTGAGACAACCACCTCGGGCACGTATATACACGGAACCGTCGGACGTAGGAATTTCAGGTGCCAGACATGACGAAAGCACTTCACAGATGAGTAGTAGGATTGCCTTCCGGCCCTTTAATTCACCGCCACGGTAAAAGAAACCGATCGAAATTTCACACGCACTGTTCGACGTGTTTCTGTGAACGCATTACGTGTTTGCAATTTTTTATCCATCACAATATCGATAACGTTAAATAACATTATCATCCGCTGTTATCATCATTATCATCATCTGAGACGCTAATATTCTCTTGTTATTCAAATTCTCTTATTACACAACTACGAAGAAATGTAGGTCATAAACTGAAGCTGTGTACGTGTGCATTAACATCAAAATTTGATAGCACAAATATGTAAAAATATCAGACTATTCGCGACTACTTTATTCATTTTCCGTTTTCAGTTCTTTCTATTTGTTTTTATATTGTCTATTAATCATTTTACTACCATAATATTCATGCTTCAAATTGCTGATTTTATGTAGCGTTTAATATGTGGCACAAATAATTTATGAAATAAATTATCCAATTGTGTCTATTCGACAAGAAATTAAAGTCATGATATCTTGCACGTTAAATGATAATTAAATCTAAATATTAATAGATTTTTGCTTGTTATTGTCTTCGACCTCTTGTTTCACGACCTCTTATCTTGATTACTTTCCGATTTTCTCTGACAATCTCTAAGTATTTGAAAGGAACGTCTGGGAAAAAGAAGGCGCTATCCAATCATAACTAAATAGTTAGATAACGAGAAACAAACAGTACATCCGCAGTGCGCGAGGAAATATCACGGTGAGACGTAAGGATAAGAAGATATGAAACTTGCGAATGAGATTGCAACACTACTGAAATAAACCAGAAAGAGAACACTCACTCTGATTGCAACTCGATATGTCATAGATTATCCGTTTTTTCGAACTGTAAACGCGCCAAAAATTAAGTTAAAAAAAATTGCAATAATTTCGTAATTTATAAAAAGTGAAATAGTCTCGATACTCAGCAATTTAAAATTCTATTCTATATATTTTATGAATATATTATTAATTATTCACTACAATCATTATAATCAGGAGACAGTTATATATCTCCCGATATCTTTCTACATAATTAAATGTTTTTTAGACAATATGCAATTCTTCAACACATAATTATATCATAAAGTTTCACGCATAAACACGTTTATGTATTCGAAGAGAAGATTGCATATCAAATTATGCATTTGAGTGTTAAAATATTAATATAAATTATCCAAATCGCATATTGCCATGCAGAATCAATTATATATACTGTTATAAGATCGTTATTGCTGCTATTTATTTATTCTTTTTTTTTTGTAAACCATCTCCGTGAAAGTTTCAATAAAACTTACGATTTTGCAGCGCGCGCGTGTCAATGCAACATTAATGCGCGGTTAGCCTGCAAACGGAAAAAAGAACGGAAAAGAACAATGCAGCGAAGTTCCGTATCGATAAAAAGACAACGACGGCGAGTATTTACGGCGTCGTTCGACGAATGTACGCGACGAGTCTTTACGCGAATGTTTGAACACGGCGAATGTAAAAAAGATTAAATTCTCTGAAGGACCGAAGAAGCGAGACAATGTTTCAGCTATTTCCTATCTCGTCGCATGTTGTCTCTTGTTCTCAAGCGTGCCCGCACACCACTACTTTCCGACACATTCGCCATCTCGCCTTTTCCTTACCCTATCTGCCCGCTGTGTTGTCCCGAAGAAAACGGAGTTTTAGGTCACGCGACTCTCTTCGACCATCGACTTGCCTCTTTTCGCGACTGTAAATTCCTCGATGTCGGGTTAAAAGGGGCCAAAACGTTCGCGGCCAAGTGCGCGGTAGCGGCGAGCAGCGGTTTCCTGCTATGTACTATGTACTTGAACGGAAACACTTCAGGAAATCTTCTTTTTCTCACCGGACGGCCGACCGCTTGATACACGAACTCTCGACGACACACTCTTTGTGCCGATACCGAATATCACGGAGTCGCTTTGCACCGTTCCGCTACCGAAACAGCTTTTTCCGCTCTGTGTGTAATTTAATCGCCATAAAACACGCGCCGCTAAACTAAACTTTGTCAGAACACGCTTCTCAGGACATCGGTCGTGCTATTACATGCTTTTTTACGAAACGTATGTAACTGAAAGCCAGTGTGCAACGTGTGTAACCAAAGAAGGTCAGTAGTATCTAAATTTCTTTCTCTAGCATAACGTGAGATAAAATTACTCGCTTGCAAAGATAACTTTTTACAACATAATAAAAAAATTCTATAGTTTATTGACTGAGAATATAATCAATGAACTTTAATTGGAATATCTATAATAAACTGATTATTTATTAATAATTTTTATAAATGCTCTAAAGATTTCTAAAATATATTTTATACATATAGAATGATATTATGCTCAACATCGAAAAGCATTGATTAAAAATAATATCAAACAGTCAGTCAAAATAATTAGATTAAATGTCAGTTAAAATAATTAAATTAAATAATGATAAGCATTATAAATCTAACAATTTCTAATATTAATTATAAATATCGACGAGATATTTCATCCTCAATCCTCAATTCAGTTTCGTCGTGTCGGCTAAGAAGAGAGGAAGAAATTATCAGCGATAATTATACGAATTATATGAATTCTGAGAACGGTGCGCAACATATCTCGTAACATAAAAAAATCGAGCGCAGCGAGCTATTTAATGCGGTGCGCGTTCGGTATGAAAATTGCCCAAGAAAGAAACTCCAAGCGTGACTAATGCAGAGATATACGTAAACGTATCTCGGCATGGATGCAAGAAAGCAATAGAGAGAAAAGAAAAAAGCAAAGACGACTTACCTCCTTGCGGCTGCTGACTCCCTCGACGAGGTCCTTACTTCCGGCGAACAGGGATGTACTCGTAGGATAGAGGCACGTTGAGAAAGAGGGGAAGAAGAATAGAAGACCCGCTGTATCCGCCGACAAATACGTCGCGTCCGTCTTCGCTGAAAAGAAATGAGAATAATAGGCACACTGGGAGCAAAGAGAGAAAAACAAAAAAGAAGGAAAGTCGAGCGCCTAGACGAACGTGGCGCATTTTAACATCTGACTCGTATCATCGCGCATTTGTAGCGAAATCCTATTCTCATACCAAGTCAAGTAAAAACGGTCATATCATTGATTTATGCTGTACGGACAAATTTGCCGATATAGCTCCATTTTGATCTGTGTTTATATTTGCATATTTACTTATATACATTATTAATCGGATATTTTCGTAATTATACACAATATTAGTACAATTAATTAATATAACCTATAAATTAACCAAAAATATTGTCAAATGTGGCGTTGCAATTCCAACTAATATATTTCTTTACCCTGTGTACAAAATGTCCAGCGCGAGCATGATAATCTTATTAATGCGTACTGTTTTACACGATTCAATAGACTTACACAGGATAAGTGGCTAAAGATATCAAAAATACACTTTCCGGTATCAATTGCAACGGATACGAGAAACGCACACAGCAAAGTAAAATAATTCAAAAAATATTTGCCGCGTATGTGCTAAACTTGGTCGACGCGCCATCTTTAGGCGACCGCCTGTATCTTATACCCCATTTTACAGTAAATTTCAATATCAATTGTCGCACGATCAATTATAGTTCGCGTAGTTATCGACATTTCAATGTGCATAAAGCAAATTACGTTGATATCTTTATTCTACATAAAATAATTTTATCTAATTTTATTAATTCCTACACGCTATAGATATTATAATATATAATACCTGCAATAATCAACAATGCAATAATACAAAAAATGGATTAATCAAATAGAATTAGCAAAAATTATATGTAACCAGAATTAAATTCTGATTTATCATATCTCGTTTTAATAACAAATAATAAAGAAAAAGAATTGCATAGATCTATTTGTAAATAATAGTATAATGTATAATGATTATACTTTATAGATAAAACCGAAAATTGCACAAATCTAACCTATGCAACTTGAACAAATAAAATGTAAAATCGAATGGCAATATAAGCACCAAATATGGAATAGCTTTAAGATTTTCTAATTATTTTTAAATTTCTGTTTATGAATTCTCAACACAACAGATATTCAATAAAAAGAATTGGAATAAAAAAATGTTTTGTCTACACCAATAAAATATTGATATATTTGTAAGAAACTTTTTATGACCTGAATCAGTATCCTTTTCAAGTGACAAATATATGAATTTTTAACTTATTTTGATATTAAATGACACATTGCTTATTGGAAAGAAGTAAATATATAGTAAGAAAATCTTTTTCAATAACAATTTGGAAATAGAGATCGCTGTAGTACCCTGTTTAGCAAAGAAAAGGTTAAGTCGTTTCGCAATACATTGCTTATTTCAAAATTTAGAAAGAAAATTCATATTGATTTGTTCGCATACTAAATACCTGTCGTATGTGTGATCTACTTTGATTCTTTTATCTTTCGCAAAATTATCATTCACTGCCCAATAATACGCCGCACTTTTGCGGCAAAACACGGCCGATACGATATCGGCGAATCGTCCGTCATTTGAAGTACGCTAACAGCCAGTTTCCGTCTGGCTACGTATCTCTTGACAAGTGACGTTCATTTCGCATCGTACACACGCAGGATTCGGGATGATTCGATAGAACGCATATCGCGCTGGGGGCGTTTTATTAGAGTGTACTGGAGTGCACTCTTTATGAAGCTGTATTATATATTTGATGGAATGCGAAATACGGCTTCACCGATCGTGGCTTAACGTAATTGTCCCGAAATCGACTCGTCGATAAACAACGGCACTGACACCGATATCAACGGCGAAGAATGCGCGATGCGTGTCCCGGCATCAAGAACGCAGTATCCAAAAACCTCGTGAATAATGTCCAGGTATCCATAATACGCGGAATAGAGGTGGCGAGTTAACGAGACACATAAGTCTTGGAAGAAAGGTATGGAGGGTGTCAACGGCCAGCTGCAAACCAAGTATCAAAAAATCGCCGCGGAATACTCAAAAGTGAGGCACTCTCGTAAGATGTAACAGATTTTGCAATATATATTGCTATTTTTCAATCATTGCTTACACTTTTATTTAGTAGTGTATATATAACAAAGATGGTCTTTGTAGGTTCGTGCGCAAGCAAATGTTCTAAAAAAGGCTGTGATAGAGGAGCAAGCACGTAACACAGATGTTCGAAATCAATTGAAGGAAAAGGAAGTGGAACTTCGGAGAGCTGATCAGGAAATAGACAGTTTGACATTTCGTAATCAGCAATTGACAAAGCGTATAACTGTACTGCAAGAGGAGCTAGACAAAGCACAGAATAAACCTAAGAAGGGCAAGAGTAAAGTACAAGAGAACAATAGCCAAATTCCAGCATTACCACCCAATAACATCTTAGATGAGGAATTTCAAAAGAAGATAGTGGAGAATGCTCAATTATTATCACAAATTAGTGACAAAGATAGTGAAATTGAAAGTTTGTACGAAAGGATACAGCAATTAGAATATAAACTCGATTATTGTGAAAAGTCTAAAGTAGAATTGGAGTGCCAGTATCAAACTACCATAGATAAAATAGAAAGAGAGAGAAATGACTTACAAAGAAAATTGAATGATAAGCAAAAACATGAGGAAACTGTATCGTGGTCTAGTAACGAAGGTAGACGTGATGGTTATGATTTTGATACGAGAGGAATGTTTTCCAATCATCGTCAAACAGAACCATCTCCAGTTTCCTCCCCATCTGCTTCACGTAGATCTTCAAAGTCACTTGGAGAAGGAAAGCCACAAAAGTCACAAGAAGAAAGTAATGAATTTCTCTATGCAAAATCATATGACTTAGAAAAAGAAATTAATCATTGGAAAGCTCAATATCATGTACTCAAGATAAAGTTTGACGAATTAGAGCAAAAGGAAGCTATAGCATCTTTTCAAACTGACAATGATGCATTGGCATTCGTGGAAATAAATAACATGGTACTATTATCTATTTCCATTCTTTTTAAAAAGTATGTAACTTATATTTAACTATAATTATTTGTATTAACTTTGTTGACAGATTGGCAAACTGAGTGCACCTTTTGCACTACCAGAAGAGGTTACAGCTCGTGAATTAAAAATTAGGGATTATTTCTTGCAAGAAATTGAAAGAATAACAAATGAAAAACACATCTGCCATATAAAAAACTTAGCTATGGCTGCTAATGTAAAGAGATATATTTTTTATTCCATTTTCTAGATGAATGTATTTTTGTACTTTATGTATGTATATATATATATATATTATATATACACATACACATGACTATGTTTTAGAACGAAGTTATGCATGTGCAGTTCGATACAAGTGAATCAAAGCGAGAGAAATGCGAAACAACGCTATTAGAGGCACATTCTAATTACAACAGTTTACAAAAGGAAAAGGAAACACAAGAAGGAAATTATAAGACACAACTCAATACTATGAGTGAACATCTTGCCGTTATGAACGAGAAACTTATCTTCCAAACGGAAGAAATACAACAATTAAAATTTGAACTAGCCAATAAGGTAAAAATGCATATATAAGGAATCATCTTGTGAGGACACTTAATCAAAGGTTCAATTTTTCAGAATAGTAAAAAAGGAAAACAGAAGTGATCCAGGTCAGCATTGCAAAGAACAATCATTGACATTCCATCAATGGTATGATTTAATCATGGTTATTGATAAATATAATTTTATGTACATATACGGATCATACCTGATAAGCAGTGATTTATAAACTTTTGCGCATACTCATATCTTTAGCTGTAAAGATCTTTAATGCTAAAGAGCTATTTAACTTAATATCACATTATTTATAAAATCAAAATAAAACCTTATCAAGGACATTGTTCTTTTTACGAATGATTTATATTAAGTTTAACTCTTCTTCTATGTCATATATGTGCAACGATTCCCATTTGCTCATACTTATTTACAGCTTTTGGTACACAATAAATTATACTATCCTAAATTCATCAATAAAAGCGTAGGTGGTTTTTTGGTATTACTTGTATACAATTATTTATAACTAAAATGTAAACTGACACCTGCAATGATAAATTTGCAAACTATTCTTTATTGTATTAAAAGAAATGTAAGAAAATGTACAGCTACTGTTGACAGTAGATGTTGTGATAAAATTAATGTATATGGTAAAGCAATTATATGCATTACTTTGTGTGTACTGAATTAATTATAAATAAAAAATTATAATTAATCTTACATAGTAATTTAAAAAATTTATATTAAAAATTAACTAACTGATTGAATAAACATCTCCATCTTGATTCACTCGACTTTAATAGCAAAACTAGCACCACAACTACATCCCTGTTCAGCTAAAGGATTATTTGTTATCCTAAAAGCAGATCTTATCAATTCTGTATGAAATTCAATTGTTGACCCTTTCACATATTCTAAAGAAGTTGTATCTATAATCACTTTAGTACCATCTTTCTGAAATACTCTACAACACAAAAGAAGTTCTATCAATTGCATATTGTTCAGAAGTTTATATATATTTATATGCATACCTATCATCCTCGTGTATATTTTGATCTAAATCAAATTTGTATTGAAATCCGGAACAACCTCCACCTTCCACTGTGACTCTCAAACATGTGCCATCGCTTGTTATTTCTTTTAAGCGCTGCACGCAACTATCACTAATAATCAAAGTATCATCGGACTTGACAGCAGCATTCGTTGACAATCCTTGAGTTGATGCAACCACAGATATATTGCACCATGATGAACTAGAAAATACATAATAAATATTTTAATGCTAGATTATTAACTACATATAACACATCCTATTGATTATCTTTTTATTATAATAATTGTTATAATAATCGAGGGATATGTATCATAATTACATATAATCTATAAAGTTTTCAAAGTATAATAACATAATTACATGTTTCATATTATATAAAATCAACTCACGTTGTGCAAAAGTAAATATGCTAATGAAGAAACTCGTGTTTCACTTACGTCAACAATCGAGAAAAATACCGATTCGCCGCAAAATTTGAAGACAGACTCCACACAGCATGGGTCAACTTCGCCATATTTTAATCATATATGTCATATATCAGCTGATAATAGAGCTGCTACTTTTTTTCCAAATTTTGCCGCCGATTTAAAGCACATTCACAAACTGTGTATCTTATGCAGGATACGTACTGAATTCAATTGTTTCACTATCCAATAGGAAAATGTTTTTTCTAAAAGTTACTAAAAAAAACGCACTTTGACCGAACACGCTCCGTTAGCATGAATCATTACTATTGGCAGAGAGAAACCTAAGAGGGGTCACGCTGCCGTTTTTCGTACGACGCTTTTACTAAGGCACTAGATATGTAGGTATTCTCATCCGCCATTTTGGTTCCTATTAGATGGAGAATTATAGCGTATACAGGGTGACACTTAAAGACTGCCCACTAAGTACATAGCGTTATTCCTTGCCAAAAAATGAGTCGAAAAAAGTACCTGAATCATTTTTAATAATTGACGTGTTACACATGTACGCTATACTATACTATATACGCTATAATTCTCCATCTAGTAGGAACCAAAATGGCGGATGAGAATACCTACATATCTAGTGCCTTACTTTTACCAGAGAGAAGACTGAGAGACTCTTGGTTTCATAAGAAAACATGTACCATGTATCAACATTAAAAATTAAAATATCGGCTTCTTTCAACACATTAAATGCTGGACAAAAAATCTAGTCCAATTATAAATCTTTTGTCCAATATTAAACTAGTTGAAAATAATAACACCTAATTTTGTTACA